AATTGATTTTATTTTAAGTTTATTTATTTTGAGAATAATCCTAAAATGTACACATGAAACCTGTATCGAAATGCAGGCTATTAAGAAATGATTTAGCCATGGTGAATAAATTAATTCAACATACCAAAAATAAATTCCAAAGATTGAGGGGTAAATTATTATCTATATGTTTAATTATATTTTTTTAATTAAGCAAATGGTGATAATATTTTCTCTAAATTACATAAAGATGTTAAATCCTTTATGAACGATAATAATATTATAAGATATATTTATAATATAAAATCATTATTTAAGCTGGATCAAACAGAGTTTAATAATTTTATGGAACAACAAAAAGAGAAGTTAAAAAATGTTTATTTTAAAAATAATATTTAATTTTTTAGATAATAAAAATGGAAATTTTTACCCAGTAATTAATATGATCATTAAACACTTAAATTTTTTGAATCAGATTTTTATATTCACTCCTGCTGGATTAGTAGAGAATGAAATTATAGAAATTTCCCAAATATCTGAAATAGTTTATTTATATGGTTTTGATGCAGAGAAGATTGTTGATGAATTTTTCTAATTTCGGACCACTATACTTAAATTCCTCATCAATTATTTATAGTAATGATCTAATGAATATTAGAAAAAAATGATGCCTTATATGATGAAAGTAAATAATTATATTATAACTTAATTTTAATATATTTATAGATGAAAACGTAAAAGTTACCAATAAAAAAAGATGGCTCAACTATTCATTTATTTACTAATAAAATTGAGTTCTTTTCCTTCTTTAAAAACATTATATAAACATCTTATAACTCTGCCAACTACCTCATGCTCTGCTGAAAGAGCTATGAGTAAAGTTAAAATTGTTAAAACACCTATAAGAAATAAAATTTCTGATGCTTTTTTAGAAAATTTATAATTAATATAGAGTGAAATTGATATACTTGATACATTTAAAACGGAAGATATTTGTACTAACCTCAAAAAGACTACCTAATCTTTAAATCGCCTAATACATATTTTTCATATCAAACAAATAAATTTAGGAATTTTTCATTATCATTTACTTTTTTTAAATATTTTAATAAATTTATAAAATTAAGACTATTAATATATTTTGATATACTAGTCCCTTATTAGTCATTTATACGTAGCCTTTTGCTGCACATTTATTTATAATGTCATATTATAAATATGTACAGTATTAAAAAAATATTATGTAACAATTATAATATTATATTTCTTTAAATTTCGATCAATAATCATTCTTTATAATTCCCTGTTTTCGAAATATTACTATTTCTATAAATGTTGATTCAAGTATATTATAATAAACATGTGGCAATCGTTTAACAAAAATAGCATATTTAAACATTTATATTTAGTTATAAAACAACAACGTCACCGAAGGCGTCGTAATTTTTTTAGGGGGATAGATATATATTTTTCAATGGGGTTTGCACCCAGTGAATATCCTGTCATGTAGACGCTGCTCATACGAACTTAAAACACCTAGAACATACTCCCACGGAAGTGAATTGCGAAGAACTAAACGCGAAAGTAAAACTAACGATCCCCCTTTACACCCATTGTATAAGTTAAACTTGTCAATACTAAATTTGATATATATTTCATTAATATATGAATACTATATATATATATATATATTTAAACTATTATTATTAAATGATAAATGTCAATCATTAAAAATATATATTTATAAACATGAAAAATATTGATTTTGTTTATATTGATTTAAAAAAAAATAATTAACGCGGATGAATATAATATTTGTGAAAACAAAGAAAGAATTTTTTAATAGACATTTATAATTATTATAAAAATTTATGATTATTTTTTATGAAAAAATATTAGAATTTGATAGATACAAAATTTATAATTAAATACTTAGATTTATACAATAAAGAAATACCTAAAATTTATTAAAAAAAAGAAATACCAAATAGAATATATTTAATCGGAGAGATTATATAGAAAATAATAAATATTAAATATAGAGTTATTTTAGAGTTAATATTATAAAAGTTAGTATTATTTTATTATAAAAGTTAGTTATATTTTAAAATTAAATTTAGAATATAAAAAAAAATAGAATATTATAATTTAATATTATTTTATCCGCGAGGTGGCGATTATTGCTATAAAAACATTTATTCGATTATAAATAATGTAATGAATCATTTTGCCGTATAAATAGATACTCAAAATTTATTATGACAACTCATACCAATAAATTCTCATTTTTTTGGTAAAATCACCAAGTCCCTATTGCAGTGTACAAATTAGAATAGCAGTTTTAGGCACTACATCCAGTCATACAGGAGCTCATGCATTGGCTTCACTAAGGGTTAGTATTGGCTTCGCCGTTACATCTCCCTAATTGCGAATAGTGGGATGTAACTGGATGCCTAGGCCTTTATGGCTTTGGCATCCCTGTGGCTTTATTAATCAAAATTTTCAATATAAGAAAAACAATAAAGCTTATAAACAGTTATAATGAAGTATTTATATAAATAAATATTGTAGGGAAGATTCGTTCTGCTGTTTATTTATTGTTTTGAAATTTTGATTAATTGGTGAGATCTTGAGAGTTGATTGAGATATCGTCCCAATGGTAAGATGTTGTGGTTTCCATACTTGGTAGGTTGGATATGATAGACGGTGTGTTGATTGATGATTCTTTACCGAACAGGGAAGTTTCTTGTTGTTGTAGAGTTATTTGCCCTGATAGAATCTGGTCGCCGAATAGATCTAAATGCTCCCGTTGGGCCATCCAGGTGCGTGAGGGTTCGCTGGATTATCCTCGGACGGGATCCACTGGGAAATGTTGCAACTAATAATTCGTTATTGTAATAATAAATGCAACTTTTGCCAACTCTAATATAGAATTTTCTTAGGATTAAAACTTGGCTCTACTAAAATTATGTGATTTAACAACACTAGCTATCACATTGGATAACCTAACCCTATTATACATGGCCAGTTACCACTGACAATAATTGCTTCTAATTTGACGGCTAATGTTAGTGACTTGCAACTTACAAATTTTATACAAACTATAATGTAAAGCATTGTAGTGATCCTGGATCATTGTTGGTCAAATACTTATTTCTTACCCAACATTTCTCAGTAACCATATCTAGAATACCAAAATGGAACGAACTCGCACATTAGTACAATTGTTTTGGGTCAAATTAGAAAGAAAGAAAGAAATAAATAAATAAAGATAATCTATCATTGTGGGGAAAAGAATATTTAACTTTTCTTTTCACATCCGAAATGTAACATCTATATTCATTCGGAATGGAAGCTAATATTCGTTTTTAAACCAATTAACCAAAATTTTCAAGAGATTTCATTTTGATTTAAAGCAAAAAAAAATTATTTTCAAAACCCTCCGCTATAACTTCAATTTTTTTTTTGAAGATTCATGGGTCACGCGACCATTTGTTTAAAGGCCCGCGATTATTAAGATTTTAGCGGGTATTCTGCTCACGGATTGGCTGAAAAGTTTGGACCTTTATTATGATTGGGCTAAAATTTTAGTCGTCGTGGTTTTTTAGTGACACTAATCGTCCACTAGCGGATGCGTGATCCTTCCGTTCGAACCGATTTCTTTAAAAACCGCACTCAATATTTTATCAAAACCCGGGAGATAAACCGCACTCAATATTTTATCAAAGCTCGGGAGATTTGCTCGTAAATGTCGCGAAAGGTTTGGACATTCATTAGCTCGATCTAGACCTACAAAAATACGGATCGAGTCAAATAATTATATTATTCGTATTCGTACGAATAATAATATAATGATTATTCGATTCAATTCGAAAATTTAAAAGTATAGCATATTAAATTTATTTTGTAAAATTTAACTATGGGATAAAAGACAAACAAATTTTATTGGTGAGATAATATAGAAGCATACACATATAGTATATTTATATATAATGTAGAAAAATCAATATAATGAAGACAAATATACCAACAACAAATTTTTTAAACACAAAGTTTTTGCGAAAAGTCAAATGTTATGATTTCTATATCATCAAACAAAGGAGAAATATCTGGTTCGCCCGTCATTCTTGACGGGATAGCTACTAGTTATTTATCAGAGTTGTTAATCCTGTATCTAGATATAAAAATGTGGTATCTGTATCTAGATAGATTTTTGATTAAGATATCGGTATCTAGATATTATTTTAGACGATGTATCTGTATCTAGATCCATTTAAAAAGTATCTTTTAACAACTCTCTTATTTATAATTGTATATGTGTTATAAATTACATATAAGAATAAACACTTTCTTCGTCCATCATAAAACAATTTTCGGAAGTTAATTTTGTATTATGAATTATTCGAATAAAAACAGCCGTTAACAACATTTAGGAATATAAAATGTTTCTTCATTATTCCACTAGGAAATATTATCAAATAGAAATAATTGCAAATAATTCCTACTAATAATATATGATCATTTTTCGATATTTATTAATATAAATTATCTTAATCGAAAAAAATTATTCGACGAATAATATATTTTCCTTATTCGAATTCGATTCGAATTTTCGAATCGAACAATTGTGCTATTCGTAAAATACGAATCGAATCGAATATCGAATAACAAATAATTCGTTTTAGGTATAGCTGTATCTGATCTCGATGTTTAGGCTATATTTTTTCCTGGCTAAAGCAGTGAGTCAGCCATTCTTAAAAATTTTTTTTTTTGGGGGGGGGATCTATTTAAATTACCTAAAAGATGTACTATATTGAACCTCTCAAGATACTGACATTACTATTTATACCTTGTAATATTAAATAAAATACTGCGGCTAAATTTGTTATTCTGCCGAAAATATTGGTAATTTCGAATAAAAATACATCTTTACTTAAGGAACAAAATTCTGAGTTTCAAAAACGACGCTTATATTTTAATTTATCGTTTTTTTAAAAACAAACAAAAAAAAATTATAAAAGAAAGATTTCACGAGTTGCCGGGTAACCTTAGCTGCAGTCGACTGGTCTTTAATTACAGGTCTAGCGATCAATTTCCGCAAAATATTGCTTGGTTCTCAGGTATTTATGGGTTATTATAATACAGTATTTTTACATTTGTAAATCGTCGTTTAAGCTTGTAATACCCATTTTAAATGGCGTACTTCAAGTTTAAAATGACGCGTTTTGAAAACGATACAATTCGAGGTAACCGTGATACTTTTATAAGATAAAAATGCGTTTTTTAAAAACGATACAATTCGAGGTAACCGTGATACTTTTAGAAGGTAAAAATGTGTTTTGAAAACGATACAATTCGAGGTAACCGCGATACTTTTAGAAGGTAAAAATGACGTTATATAAGCTTATGCTCAATTCGGAATTTCTAAGAATATTTAGATTTGTATGCATTTATTATTTTATAATAAACTCTAAGGTTCCGGAATATTTTTGGGCAAAATCGATTGCACTTTTCGCAAAAAAGAGGATTCGGTCATAAGCGAGACTCGATTATTACCGTACCCGCTCAAAAGTGAAACTACCTTTCTCGGTGCGGTCATGACATCTTTTCACCTTCTCATTCTATACCCAGAGAGGTTAAACATATTATTTTATTTTATCTTTTAATAGTTATGTTTTATTTATTATAGCCGATTTTTTAGGTTTGTTTTTTTTGAATATTTAAAAAAAAATGTTTTTAAACCTAGTCCTTACCCCTCTGGTTAAAAATTGTAAGAACTATTCAAAATTTTTTTTTAACGTAAGGCTGAAGTGAGATTTCCTAGAAATAAGGATTAGAAGTCGATCTGCCCCCCCCCCTCCCCCTTAGTAGAAATTTTAAGAAAAATTTTTTTTGGCCCAGTTTATACAGATGATTTTGTATGTTTATGACATTATAATAATACCTAGAATGTCAATGAATTCATAATAATGCATTTGAAAGTGTCGTTCATTTTGGTAACCCATAATATAGTAATTATTCTCACGTTCTACTATTAAATTGATGACTCGTATTCCTTATCATCTCGATGAATCAGGCAATTCTTTAATAAAGTTTGCCTCAAACATAGGAAGTAAATTGGCCTCTCGTTAAAAAATTTTTAAATTATGATATGAGTAATCAAAATGGCGTCCCCAGCTGTTTTCATTCGATGTACGCTGCCAATGAAATGCATCGTAAGTCTAGGTGTTATTATATGTGATTGACAAAGACATAATAATTCAAAAAAATGGCCGAATTTGACTTAATCTAAGACGATTTTGTTCGCAGAAATATTTCGAGCATGTTGTTCGACATTTTATACGCGGACAACAATAGGAAAGGAGGCACGAGTGTTTTTGTTTGGAATGGAAAAATTTCATACTTTCATTTTTGGACGAAATTTTATATCGCGAACAGATCGCACACCTTTAGAAAAATTATTTGGCGATAAACGGGAACTACCAAAAATAGCGCTGGGCATTTAAAATGTCCTCATATGATTTTGATGTTAAGTATCGTCCAGGAAAAAGAGAATATAGTAGCTGATACATTATCTAGACTGCCAGTAGAAGGTATAGAGTCAAATAACGATCCAAAAGATTCATTAAAAATCAGAGCTATAAATATTGGTCAAGTTGAACTCCAGGAAGAAACAAGGAATGATAGATTGCTTAAAAGAGTAATCAAAAACATTGAGCGAGGATGGATGGGTGGGGTTTGATGCGAAAAATGATGCAGTGTTAGTTTGTTTATAATCGTAGAGAGGAATTGTCAGTAGATCGTGATGTCATTGAATGGAATCGAGAGTTGGTAATTCCAACCGCCTTGAGGAAATCGATATTAACTATTATACACAGAGGGCATCCAGGAATAAATGCTATGAAATCAATCTTTAGAATCTATTGTTGGTGGCCTAATTGCGATAAAGACGTTGAACAACATGTTCGTCAATGTAAACCATGTCAAAGTAACCGGTCGAATATGATGGAGGTTCCTTTATATTCGCGGAACATCTCTAATATGCCATGGGAACGCATTCATTTGGATTTCGCGGAACCTCTTGATTCGTATCCAAGATTAGTAGGAGTTGATGCACATTCTATATGGGTTGAGGTCGAGTTGATGATAGAGACCACGTCTATGATAGGGCTCTAAGAAAATGGGCCTCACGTTTTGGAACGCCAAAAAAGATAATGGTTCGCAGTTTATTTTGAGGGAATTTCATTAATACATTCAACACCTTACCATCCCAAAACGAATGGGTTAGCTGAAAGAACAATACGAACACTTAAGAGCCGATATTTTGCCACTAGGAAAGATATTAGGGAGCCAGAAGAAGCTATGGGAGAAGTTCTGACAGCATACAGAATGGGCGAGCACCAATCAACTGGACCCTCGCCGGCAAAATAAAAACTGGATTAAACTGGTTACATTCAAATGTTAGGGATGAGGTGGATGGATCTAATTTATACGACAAAAAAACAGCGCACGATTCACACAGTCGAATGAGGGAATTCGAGATTGCACGACCGGTATGGGTACATAACGAAATAAATTCAGGTTGGAGAGCAGGAATTATAAAATCCAGAACTGTTAGATACTTTTATTTGGTAGAAGGCAAGGATAGAATGTTACGAAAACATGCGAATCAACTTCGAAAACGGGAGGTAGCTAAAGAAATGGAGGGCGAGAGAGGAAGGAAATAAAGAAATTAGGTAGTCGGAAATAGTTGAGATTTTGGAAAATGTGGAAGGAAATGGAAAAACTAAACGCGGAAATCGCAAAGATCTAGGAAACCTACAAATCGGCTGATTGAGGAGTTGTAAAATCATAAGTGTGGGGATATGTTATAAATGTCATATATTTTACAATACATTATCAAGATGATTGACATTATTGATATGTAATATACGACATGCGTTATATATTGTGACACACGAATTACCATATTGATATATGGATTATAAAGATTAATAAATTTTGTCCAAAATTTTTTTTTATTAAACTTGTTTATATCAAACAAAATAAATCATGGAAATTTTTTTTTCCTTGTGGACATTTTATTTATGAATAGGCTTCTTTTTTTATTACGTCGAATTCCCATTTCCTCAAAATCATTTACCTTTTTACTAATCTCAAATTTAATGATCGCGATAATAAACAGGTTATTGGCTATCAATATCTTGAATCAACAAACGATTTTGGAGGACACTTTTCCCAAAGTTATTTAATATTTATAAGGAAGGAAGGAAGGAAAGAAGGAAGGAAGGAAGGAAGGAAGGAAGGAAGATTGCTCATTCTTAATTTGAGGATGTTTATAAATTTGTTTTATAATGAAATTAGATTTATACTTAAATTACAGATAATTTAAAAAAAAATATTATTTGAAGGAATTCGGTGGCTGTGTAGGAATAACGGAAGATGCTACTCAGACCGACGACAGTCGTTTGTGGGTATTTTGCGGCAAAGCGATATTCAAGTACAGGATCCACAAGGAAAATAGGGATGTTTGGAAACACTTTTTAGCTAAAGCCGATTTCGACACTGCCAGGAGCTTTTGCCAGGTAAATCCATCTATCTATTTTTTGGCGATTTTTTTTAAAAAAAAATCTTTTATAATTTCCCTATTTAATGCTACCCTAAATTTGAGAATATTTCGAAATATCGTGTATCGATAAATGGCGCATGCGCTAAACGAATAAAAACTTGTAACAAAGAGAAATTGTTCATTGGGCTGTTTGAAAAGTTTAATTTCGAAGTTTGAGAATGCATTATGAATTTTAACTTATTGCAATGAATGACGTAGACTGAGATGCATTATTAAAAGTGTACAATACAGCTGGGGACGCCATTTTGAATACCCATATCATTATTACAAATTTTAAAGGAGAGGCCAATTTGTTTCTATGTCTAACGCAAAATTTATTAAAAAATTGTCTTGATCATCGAGATAATAAGGAAGCAAGTTATCAATTTATTAGTAGCTTTTAACATGAGAAATAATTATCTTATAAGGGTAAACAAAATGGCGGCTCCAGCTGATTTGCTTTTAACGACGCTTAAAAATGCATTTTAATGAATGAATGAATGAATCGCCAGTCTAGGCATTACTAAATGTCACTGGGACATTAGGTCTAATCGTTTTTCCTAAAAATAACCCTCAATGTATTCTTATAATCCAATCAATATTTTTTTAAAGATTAATTAATATCTTCCAATACAATCTTTTTTTCTTTAAACCCTGAAATAAAGGAAAACGAACTATTAGCTTTGGACACCATAACGATCGCGGAGGCGGATCACGTGTTTAATCAGTCGGGGGATTTTTCTCGCGCCGCAAAATTGTATTCCGCTTCGCACTTATCGGTGCATAACGTAGCGCTCAAATTCTACCGGGCGGCCGAAAATATATCGGCGCCATCTTTAGATGAACCGTCCATGTACCAAGAAAGAATTATGTCCGGGTGCGCCGAATATTTGAAGCTCACGCTTACCAAGGATAAAAATAAGGTATGACTGCGGAAAATAAAATTTTACGATTGATTGGCAAGTTTCGATGAGTGACAAAAAGTGTCAATTTTAGTTTTATTCATATTTCGAAGTTTTATCCATTTTAACCTCGCTTAAAAAAGTGCTAAAAAAATGTATCTTTTAAATGGATCAAATAATAATAGTTTCTAAAATGACTTTAAATGTTTTATGTAATGTATGTATATGCAGGAAAAGACCCAAGTAACAGTGCTAGTGTTATGGCTCGCCGAAATCTACCTAAGCCGGCTAAGCAAATTTCCTCGCTCCTCCAAACAATATTCTGCCATACTTGAGGAGTTCAAAAGTTTCCTGCTAATTCCTCAAATTCAAGTATAATTTATATTTGACAAAGAGGTACCAATTGCAAGATCCGGCCCGGTTTAAAAATCCGGGCCCGGCCCGGATTTTTTGGGAAAAAATTTCAGGCCCGACCCGGCCCGGGGATCTTTAAAAAAATTAAATAACCCCTGACCCGTATATATATTGCCCATTGTTTTCTTTTTTAATTATAGGAATGCTTGTACGTGAACGAGAGTGTCCTATTCGAACTCATAGCTGGCCACGATAACGAAGACGTCTATCTATTCTTTGCCGAACATAGCAAAGGTGGTGTTTTGAATTTTTTTTTTTTTATTGTAAATCAAAATTAATCTATCAATAAATATAAGTGGGGAAGATAGTGTAATAATTGCTTTAAAAAAATCATCATTATAGGATTCTAAATTCTTTCTTTTTATATTTGTAATGGTTAGGGTTCGGGTAAGGGGTTTTGGTTAAGGGTTAGGATTAGAGCTAAGGTTCGGGTAAGAGTTACGGTTAGAGTTCACGTTAGGGTAATTTCGACTCAATCTCTGGTCGGGTGACCAAGCAAATCCGCGAAAAAACTGAGGATATAGTTTAATTTTTTATTTTTGAAGTTAATCTATATATTTTAAAACTGAGACCGAAAAGATAATTTTTGGCTAAAAACTAGGTTTAGGTCACCGAGAAATAGGGGTTTATTACCTTACTACATTTGTGAGAGCTAAGGAAGGTCATAACTACCATTCATTACATGAATAGAGAAAATTAAGGGCACTAAGTTTACACTTGGGTTTGGGTGTGCCCTAAATTCGAATATTTCAACCTCGATGTCCAGCAGCTCATATAAAAAAAAAGCATGTGAAGGTCAGATTAGATTCTGATAAAGATATAAAAATAAAATTGATGAAGGAAGATTGTCGTGAAAATGATTTTAATAAATGTTTTATTTGAAAAATAAAAGTTACCCTTTTAATAAATTTCTAAAAATTAAATTCAATGATCCCCCCTCCCCTCTCTAATCCTCTGCACCAGTTGAACATGTGTTTAGCTCCCGGAATTTTTGCCGAGAATTAAGCGCTCTTGTTTATCTGATCAAAAATTTTGAAAATCAATTGTTAGAAAATTATTAAGAAAAAGAACTTATTTTAATAATATTATTTTTTTATAATTTTAATTTTTATTATCTAACTATGGGGGGAAAAGATATAAAATGAGTAACGCGTTACTTTTCCCCCAAAAGTAACGAACGAGTAACTCTTTATTTTCGAAGTAACGTTGAAATGTTATAGATGACATTTTAATAAGTTAAAATAAAATAATTATATTAATTAAAATAAAATATTAATTAAAATAAATTTGATAAATAATAATTATAAAAATATAATATCTAATTAATTTAAATAAATTACAATATTAATTAAAATAATTTATAATAATAATATTATATATTTCGATTTTTACCGACTCATTTCATATTATTTTATAAATATTATATAAACTTAAAATTTTAGATGTTTTTAAAGATAACGTTAAAATTCATCCTTTTGTCTTAAAATAAAATTTAGTGGTAGTTTCATCTAGGCCTTCCGCTGTGTGTTTCCATCACAAAAGTAATAATAAAATTAGAAAATGATGAATTGCAAACTCTTATTTGTAATGCAAGAATTAAAAAAAGTGTTTAACTATTAAAAGGGTTGAAATGGTAGCGCCCCTTTGGGATATCGACAAATAGTAATATATATATATTCGCACTTTTAAAAATTCCAAAAACAAAAATCAAACGAAGATTATGACAAAATTATTCGCTATTACGTCGAGAGGGGTTCTTACGCTACCGCCTTGAAAATTATGGACAAACAGGTTTTTTTTAAATGCGAATGACCATAAGTTATGAAGAGTATTTATTCAAAGATCTATATAAGAAAATAGAAAGAAAGAAAGAAAAGAAAGTGAAAATTTAAATGATTGAAAATGAAAAAAAAAAGAAGATAATAATATATTAACCATTTAATGATTCATAAGCGTGACGCGGAATTATTTTACAAGTTCTCTAGTTTCCTCATTACGCATATACCAGATGAACTTATATCTAGCTGGATGGATCAATACAAAAAACATAAGGTCTTCCTAAAACCATCCCTCCTTTTACCCGCCATGATCAAGCTTCTATCCTTTCCCCCTTCTAGGTTTCTTATTTATTTTTATTTTTTTGCTAATTTGACAGTAAATTTTGATTTCGGTTTTTATTTGTCAGAATTATTCGATTTTTGGTGATACTCATTTCTTTCTTTTTTATCCTTCCTTCCTTCCTTCCTTCCTTCCTTCCTTCCTTCCTTCCTTCCTTCCTTCCTTCCTTCCTTCCTTCCTTCCTTCCTTCCTTCCTTCCTTCCTTCCTTCCTTCCTTCCTTCCTTCCTTCCTTCCTTCCTTCCTTCCTTCCTTCCTTCCTTCCTTCCTTCCTTCCTTCCTTCCTTCCTTCCTTCCTTCCTTCCTTCCTTCCTTCCTTCCTTCCTTCCTTCCTTCCTTCCTTCCTTCCTTCTTTCCGTGTATATTCAAAAATTTTTTAAAACTGTAAAAGCTTACAGGAACTTTTACTACTCCAATACATACCATTTCATTTTAAAAAAAAAGATACGAGAAAAATAAAAAATTAAGATGGAATTAAACTCTTAAACCATGCAATCTCTACATAACACCACTTTTACTTTTATATGATATGAATCCATATCATATCATATCATTCATATCATATCATATCACATCATTTTAAAATATATGTACAACCATGAGCGAGCAGTGAATCACAGTTCTGGAACGAAATTATCAAGTACTTAGAATTCAGCGTGGATATTTCTGGCCAACACAATCGTCGCTTCAACAGCCTCCATCCAGACCGTCGAGATTGGATGGATGATTACTCGTCCTATCACACGTTAGACCAAACTCTAACCACAAACACATCTCTAGTTTTACTATTTATCGCTTCTTTCTTGTCATATTTAGATTTTAACTATATCGTCATATCATAAGAAATGCTAAGATATTGATATATTTATTTTTTTCGTTTAAAAAAAAAAGGAAAATAATAGCTTTGGCAATAATAATTTGCCCACATCTATCCACAATTTTCTCATCAGCTTGTATTGTCAATACCAGCCCGACCAACTCATCAAATATCTAAAGGATCAAGGAATGGTTTAATTACTCATTTAACATAATTCATTATAATCAGCTGTTGTTAAACGGCTGACTCAATATTTTATCCCAAAAAATATGGCACAAGCCTAAAGATTTCTCTCTTAGATGGCACATAGAATTGAACATCTGTTGACGAAATCTCGACGCTTGGGCGATATGCTCCTAGCTATAATGTTGAGTTAGCCCTTAAACAACGCTAATTAAAAGGCACAAATAGTTTTACTACAAAAGTGAATAGCTATTAGTGTAATAAAAGTATAAAAATGTTGATAAAATATTTCTTTTACAAAAAAATAAATAACTAACTACGTAAAAAGGACAAAAGGCACGTTAATTACGATTTAAATTATGCATTACGCATGTGCATGGATTACAACAATATTCGCGCATGCGTGTTCGTTCACACTATCATGGGGCTATACGAACCCGCCGTAAGATTGGCTTTGAAGGTTTTGGCGCCTTAATTTTATTTGTGATTGGCAATCGTTTTACAGTGGTGTTTGAAAATAGGGTATGGGTCATTTAGGGATCGGATTAGCCTAAATACTTCCTGAATCATTTATTGTTCTAACTCCAATTTTTTTTTTAAAAAACGATATTACCCGGAATATGGTATCATCTATCCACCTCAGTTTGATATAGAACTGGCAAAGCAGACGGCGAATCTTCCCTTCTCCTCTCGCAAAAATCTTCTGAGGAAAAGCGCTACCCCTCCCGACAGCGATAAGAGTCTTAAAAAACGCCTTTGGCTGATCATAGGTTTATTTTATATCATAATACATTACGGCTTAGAAATAACGGAAAGTAAAAAAGGATATAAATATTTATTCTTGTAGGAAGACGGATTAACCTTTTGTCTAGATTTATTACCTAATCTATTTAAGATATGGCTCAAAATTGGTGAAATGTGATCACCACCTCTTCGTTTGTGCCAGAGCTTCTTAAAATGAGTCCTTATGCTCATTCAAAAGGAAAATATATTTGGCAGATAATTACAAAATAAACTTTGAAATTATTAAAATGATAATTATTATGCGCATGCCTATACGAATCTGCATTTAAATCATATAACGTATAACAGAAAGCGCGGAAGGATATAAAATGGGGAAGATCCGGAGTAATGTTGTTAAACGGCTCGATTTTAGCCAAAATAGTATTACGCGATTCTCGATATTTCGTTAATAGATGTACCAGACCTTTCTGCTGTCACCTCTGTGAAAAATATCCAGGCTCGCGTAATATTTATTTTTCGGCTGAAATATTGGGCTAACTAATAACCAGAATTGTTAAAGGATCTAGATACAAGTATTTAGATCCTATATCTAGATATAAAAATGTGGTATCTGTATCTAGATAGATTTTTGATTAAAATATTTTTATCTAGATCCATTTAAAAAGTATCTTTTAACAACTCTGCTAATAACATTTACCCCAGAGACTAGTGTCGCTAAACTACCCTTTAGTCAGCTATAAAAACAACGTAGCCATATTTTTATCCAAAAATATTCGAATCAAACTTCGAGTTGATACTCAACTCAGAAACTTAATTCAATTTTTTTAAGCTAAAGGCATGACCAAGCCACAGTAGAGATAGTCATAGTCAGGTGATTTAACAACACTACCGGAGACAGATGTTAATTTGTATCATATTATTTTATCACCTCCGGTATTTTATAAGAACTTGATTGGCCACTTTATTATCGAGTGACAGAAATATGTATTTTTTGGGCCCATCAAAAACCGATTAAAGAATGTTTGCGTTATATTTCATATATTTTAAACGGGTTATAATTATAATATTCAACGTTATTTGAATAACGTTGCAATTGGGGTCAAATCGCAATAGATATGTATGAGTAGTATTTGAGTTTAGGATGTTAAGTAAAAGAATTATTATTCGAGAAATTGCATTGTATATCTATGTAAAAAAAATATCATCTATATATATATGTATATAAATGAATTTAATTTTCTTTTTAAACAATTAACTTTTAAACTCAAAATGAATATAATATTATGTCCAATTACCAAGTCACAATTGGCGCCTTAAACAGTGATATATAAACCTTAAAATACATATTGATAATGACAAAAATGTCCAATTAACAAGTTACAATTGCGAAATACATTATAAAAATAACGCCTTATATACAGAGTTGCAGGTGTTTTATTTGATGATACTTAAAAACAAAGACTATTAAGTTGTATAATAAATAAGCTTGAAGTGTTTAAAAAACAGAAATACCTCATTTATGTATTAGGAAAAAAATAGTTTAAGTGAATAATTTTTCAAAATTTTTTTAGAAGGAATTTGAAAAATAAAATTTTTTAAAATGCCATTATAGAAAGGCGCCAATCGTAAGAACGAAATATAAAAATTAACAACCCAACAAAGAAAATTTAGATTACAACCCAAATAATTTTTTTTTTTTTAAATTTAGAAAATATAAATTTTAAATATCTTTTTCCTTCAAATATAGTTGAATATTTTATTTTGTATTATATCATAATAATCTATAATTACACACGTACAAGCACGATATAATAATTTACATAATGATTTAATTTTGTGAGGAAATATTAATATTTTAAAATTGTATTCTCGTTTAGTTTTGATGTTCCTAAATTGGCATCTTATTTTAATACAAATAAGAGAAAAGATAAAAATATATTTAAAATATTGTATCCCGATAACCAAGTTCCCCAAAACTCATGCATAAAATCGTACTGTAAGTACCGATTTAATATCGAAATAACTTTATTTACTATTAGATCTCTATTGTTTGACCTTGAAATTTTTTATTTTTCAAAAATTTCTAAAATTAAAATAAGGTTTATAAAAATTTTGAAAAAATATTCACTTAAACAATTTTTTTTCCTAATACATAAATGAGGTATTTCTGTTTTTTAAACACTTCAAAACTTATTTATTACACCACTTCATATTCTTTCTTTTTAATGTATCACCAAATAAAACACCTGCAACCCTGTAATCATTAAAATATCAATAACAAAATAATAATATAATATATATAGCGTATTTACATTAAATATTATATGAAAGGTCAGTTAAATTGAATAATTATAGAAATAATATATATGTGTGAGCGGCAATGTGTTATTTTTTTTTTCAACTTTAAATCATTTTTTGCGCGCGTTTTTTTAAATTTAAAAAATTGGAATAAACCGGAAATGTATTCCACGCATGCCTAGAATAGACCTATCTTATGAATTTTAGAAAATTTTGCCCGTTAGCCTTTGAGTCATTTAAAATTTATATTTAAAAAAATAATCTAAGGAAAAACTAATATAAATTATATTTGAGTTCAAAAAAGTTCGCAGCGAAATTGTCTCATATTTATAGGGTAGGTATTCGAAACATGATAGAAAACATTTCACGGAAAAATCAATATTTTTAAATTTAAAAAAACGCGCTAAAAAATGGTAATAAAGAAAAAAGAAAAGCTAACAAGATATAAGAGAATAAAAAGTTACCATGACCATATATTATGAGGTTTCTTCAAGTTATCGAAGTATGAATATCCCCGAGGCAAATAAAATTATCCTGATTTATGAGACATAAAGGAAAAATAAAATGAAGAGATACAAAAAGAATGAATGAAATTTTTTTTAAAAAAAAAAATATGAGAAATTAATAAAAGAGAAACTATTTTTTTTAAAAAAAAAACACTAAAGCGAAAGATGTGATTAGTCGCGCGGAAAATAACGACACTGCGCTTAAAGGGGTGTGCGATGTTTTAGTGAATGAATGCGACGCTCTGACTATCGAAGATATTTTGCCGTTTTTCCCTGATTTTCAAACTATTGACCATTTTAAAGTTTATTTTTTTTTATTTTCCTTTATGAAATGAGGTTGGTATGGTATTTATGATAAACGGAATGAGAGATCACGTGACTAAGATTAATATGGCGGTGAAAGTATGACATGGGGCCAGCATCTGTTAGATTGCTATGGCTAGATTAATAGCACCATTTCGATAATAAATCATAAGTTTCCTACTAGAAAGGCATGGGGTTAAAAGTTGACAAGGAAAAACTGAGTGTAATATATAGAGAAAGATGAATTGCAAGTGAAGGCCTAAAGACTACATTTTAACAACAAGGTCAAGAGTTTAGAAGTGATGGATAAACGAATGAGAGGGGAAGGCCAAAACTCCAATGGACCAACAAAGTTAAAGCCAATATTACCGAATATAAATGGAAATCAAAATAAATATGGCATCGGCGGAATATTTAGGAACGGCACAGAATTCCTAAAATCACTGGTGGAATAATTTTGTCTCAATTTGTAATTTGCACGTTACAAATTACACTGGGCTTTAAAACTAGCTAAAAAAATATATTAGTATTTTAAATTTATAACGCATAAATAGAGTTATAAAAATCGAAATAGTCGGTAGAGAATATTGTTTATAATATGACACATGTTAATAAATGGGGTACATATGAGCCATAATTTTTCTTCTCTTTCTCTTTTTTTTTTATTAAAAACATACCATAATTTAATGAAGGAACCTGTTATGATGTCTGTCAAAGATTACAATTCCCATCTGAAGATTCTGCAGGAAGAAATGGAGGAGTGCACCAAAGGCTGCGACGAACTCAGGGCCGATATTCAAGAATACACTGACAGGTTGATTATATTTTATATAGCATTTGAGTCTAAACTAAGAGAACTAGAGTTATCTAAAACAATCCTTAAAATTTGAGTGACGTACTTCAATCTTTCTAATTTTCTTGAACCGTTTCAAATTTTTTTGATTATTGATTGATCGACACTACTTCTTCTTAGGAAGTTTTTTTAGAACAATATAAAATTATCAACCCATAATGCCTTTGCAATACAATGTAGAGAAAACTTACTTATGGCAAAATTTATTTTTTTTATCCCATAGTGTCGTCATTCATACAATGACAACGATTAAGTTCATAAAATATCAGTTCATACAAACTATTTCAGGGAATGTTGAATGCTTAAAATCAAACCATTCATCAAGAAATCTAGCATGTAATATTAAGAAAATTACAAATAAAATATCCTAAATAATATCTTAGAAATAGAGGGTGAAGAAATCAGAACTGATTTTTTTATGTTTCTGAACAAGAAATGCAAACTTATATCCATTAACTTAACCTAGAGTTAGTTGTACTATTTTTTTTCCTTTAAAAAAAGCAGAAATAAAATCTTTTGTCAATATATATATTCCTAGTGGGACTCTTTGAGGTGTGCCACATTTTCTTTATTTATAGACACTCCCTAAATGCTTAGAGGATCCTCACAGCATCCAGAATTAGAAGGCTTAGCTTTGCCTACTATGCTAAGAGTTGATTAAATTGTTTTACATGATTGACGCGCAAGGATACAGTTGAGGGAATATGCCAAAATAAATGTCAGAATATCTGACACACAAAACTTACTTCTAATAACTAATGTCAGCTGCTAGCATTGCTAGTTTTTAATTGATTTTTTTAAAAATAATTTGGTGAACCAGAAGGAATAGATTTAAAAAAATATGATTATCTTTATATTAATTTGATTGACGTTTAACTTTGAAAGCAATCTTATAAATGTTAATCATCTTTTTTGATTGGTTATATTTCATTTTAAAGGACGAACAAATATAGTTTATACTGAATTGTGTTTGAAGATTATTGTTGTTATCTTGAAAAAATTTGAGATGTTCAAACATATGACTAGTTTTTTCGTAATGGGGACTCATCAGATATGTGTTGAACTGAAACATTGGTTAATGCATATAGCTAAAGGTTTGGTAAAATGTATATAACTAGAGCCATCCATCTATCTGACGCCTGTTTGGTCTGATTTTAGTTTTTTCCTTTGGTCCATGTCCATTGCGGTTAGATCAGCTGTAATTTTGCAAAGTGTCTTATATGTACGACTAATATTTATATATATATATTATAATTTTTTACGAATGAACGAAATCGCAGAAAGTTCCCCATTCTTGATTACGAATTTGTTTATAATTAATTTATATATAAAAAAAAAGATGCATGATGGTGAGATCGGAAGATTTGTGCAGTTCCTGTCAGAGACCCCTTCTCACTTCCGCTTATTTTCATTTGTTCCAGTGCTTGCATTACTTTCACACCGTTTGCTTGGTCCGGGAAGTACTCAAAATAAATTACTTATCTTTTTTTAAAGGTTAAAATTAGTTTTTTGAGATTGTAGCGGGTGAAAGTTTAAAGACAAGATTTGTTGTATCTTTTAGAATATTATACTTTTTTTCACGAGGCTTTCTTTTATGAAAAATATGGAATATGTTTTTATCAAATAAACTCTTTTCTTTATTTTCTCTCTTCTTTTTTTTTTATTTTCTCTCTACTTTTCTTTATTTATTTTCCCTCTTCTTTTTTTTATTTTCTCTCTTTTTGCTTTATTTTTTCTCTCTCAAGATCAAGAACTTACTGGACAAGGAGAGCAAGGAGAAATTCGTTTTGGCAGAAAAGGTGCTCAAATCATCGAAAAATTCGAGTCTCGCTCAGATTAAGGAGGCGAAAGTTTGTTTAAAAAAATTATTGTGAATTAATCGAACCGGGACCGGGAACCGTATAATACCGGTTTTGAAACTTAATAAAAAAATAGTCGAGATTGATAAACATAAATAGCCTTACTAACTTAATTCATTGTTTGACTACTCACTAACAACTATTACATGTATCTTTAGGCGGAAATGGAAAAATATGTCGGAGTGGAATGCCCTTATTGCAATCAACTCATCATCAAGTAACACCTTTAAACATTTCATTGTATTTGGTTCGTTTAATAATTGGGGCTAGCTCCAATGACATACAATAATATCTAGAACTGACTATGCATTAAAAAGCGTCGTTAAAATCAAATCAGCTGTACCCGCCATTTTGGTTATCCGTATGGTAATTATTCTCACGTTAAAAAAACTACTATTAAATTGAATAACTTGCTTCCTTATTTATCTCGATGATCGGACAATTCTTTAATAAAATTTTGCGTCAGAACATAGGAAAATTAATTGGCCTCTTTATAATAACGATACGGGTAATCAAAATGGCCTCCCCAGCTGTTTCCATTTTACACTTTTAATTGCATCATCAGTCTATACACGTCATTGGGTCTACTCATTTTTTTTATGTTGGACAGATTTTCCATATTCTTAAGCGATTTAAATTTTTTTCGCATTTTACGTTTTTCTACATTAAATTCGTATGTCTATTTATTTATTTATTTATAACCTCAAAGTCGGTAAAAAAAAAATAAAAACGGAAACTCGAAAAAACCGAATCTTCTAAAAGTGCTTTTTGTGGTAGTTTAGTGAGGTCGTTAAATTTTACCAAGTCGGTTAGCGTACAGTACATTAGAAGTCCGCGAAATAGAGGACGGAACCGAGCATTGAAATATTCTTTTCTGGCGAAGCTTTAAAATCGTCTAAAAAAAATTATGTAAAAATTTTTTTTAAAATATACTCTGAGTCATGTACAAACTTGATGGTAAATTTTTACAATGCTGGAAGATACACTATTATTGTTCTGATTTAAAAATATCTATTATAACTGCGAAAATTGCATTTAATGCAAAAAAAAATGAGAAATGAAATAATCGATGATTTTGAAATTTGGAGTCGACTTTAACTTAGTAAAGGTCCTATGACCGAGACCTAACCCAAAGGACCGCATGCCAATATCAAAAGAACCGAACCGATTATCTAAAAGATCTTTATGATCCCTTTAGACAAAATATTTAAAAAAATTAGGTGCTATTTTAAATATTTTGTCTGCTGCACCTTTTCTTACAGTTTTTAAAAGATTACAGAATTGAGTGACTCTAATATTAATATCATTATCACCCACCACTTATATCATATTACTTACTATTCTGAAAATTTGAATTGTTATTTTTTTTTATAGAAAAACCACACTTATATCTTTACTTATTAAAACCTTATTACAAAATTCAGATATCTTATTTAAATTAATTTTATTTTTTAAAGTTCGATTGATAGACCTTTCATAGATCCCGAAATTTACGAGCAGGAATACAAAAGCTGGTTATGATTTTCAACTTGATCACGTGCTTTGCAGGAATAAGAACATCATTGGAGATTTCGATATTTTAAAACATGCATCGCAACCATTAATCAATGCCATTATTGTATTAGCATTTATTTTCTTGTGATACTAAAAAATTGTTATCGCTCTATATATTATACATGTATATATATATATTTATATTTTAAATTTGATACGCGTATTTATATATAAATATTTTATATTAAAGATTTCATTGAAATGATTCTTGCATTTATCATATATTGTTAAATTAATTTTTTTTATAACTTATCTGAGGAAGAGAGATCGAGATTGGTCAGTACATTAATTGTTCGAACCTGAATAAGTTTCTATACTATTTAACCAATCTGGATAAATGGGACATTCCTAGAGGTATAATCTATTTGAAAGGGTTAATAGAATTAATTTTTAAATTTTTTTTCAGACCATCATATCTTATCACGTGATAGATTGGTCTTACAAAAAAAATTAGGGTCTAAATAGAATTACTTTTGTGATATTTGTTATGACTACAATTTTTATGTATTCGGGATACCAAAATTCAGTGTTGTTGTAGTTTTGTTATATATTTATAATATAATTAATGTGAATAAAGTAAATTTTTATGATGCATATATTTTAGAGTATGTGTTAGTGTTAAATGTTTAAAATTATAGATGTATAAAAAGTGTAATCTTGCATTAGCGTATAATTTCATTGGCCTCATAAGAGGGATGCCAAGACAACCCTAAATTAAATCAAATCTTGCAAAAGCTAATTTAAAATAAATATTCGTCCTGTAGTCGACTCATGTTAACGCCTCGAGTCGACTTGAGTTTACTACCCGAGTTCATAACAATTAATGGGAATATAAGTGACTAAATTAAATTTATACAAGTACCCTTTAGGTTCCCTGATAAAATTAATATGATGCAACACGATATTTAGTAATTTTTTTATTGATTCATGTATAGTATAATATAAAACCCACAAAAAAAATTATTTTAATTTAAAATGGCGGCTCTATGGTGGTTTCAAATTCATATCATAGAAACCTTATGAAAACTTTCGAAACAGTTTCTATTTTTATTTAGACATAGTGGTACGTTGCATTAGCATATATACCTTTCTTTTTTAAATCGGACAATAGAGTATAACTCGTAAAATAATTATCGAAAAATATTTTATGATTTTGAAGTCCTTCGCAATACTTTGTTACAATATTATAACCTAGATTACTTACAACCTCTTCATTTTTCCAAGCATAGATATTAAAATCATTCATATATCCTGAATTATCACACCTCATCCATACCTTAAAATATAGTTTAGTCGAAAAAAAATATTGTTGTAAAGTGGCAATGGTTAGTTTAATATACCACATTAAAAAGATCAAAATAATATATAAATATTATTTATTTGAGGAAAAATAAATAATAGAAAGATAGATAATATAGTGAGGAATATATATATTTAAATAATATTTGATGAATATACTGACCTATAATTAAATTTACATTTTAAGAAAAATGACCGTTGAAAACGTATTTTGAAATAAATGCGCGAAAAAAAGAATTAAAAAAATAACTCCTCCACAAACATATGAAAAAGAATATCTTTTAATATATATTCGTGATGGTTTCATTTTATATGATTAACTCCTTTAGAAGATATAAAGGTCGAAAGGTGGTTTTATATTTGCAATACCGCCACCGAAAGGGTTAAGCATAAGAGGTGTATACCAATGACACAATAATATCTAGACTGAGGATGCATTTGAAAGCTTCGTTGAATGCAAATCAGCTGGACCGGCCATTTTGGTAACCCATATAGTAATTATTCTCATGTTAAAAAACTACTAGTACATTGAATAACTTGCTTCCTTAATCATTTCGATGATCCAGCAATTTATTTAATAAAGTTTGCCTTAGATATAGGAATAAATTGGTCCCTCATTGAAAATTTGTAATAATGATATGGGTAAATCAAAATGGCATCCTCAGCTGTTTTTCATTGATGTACACTTTTCTAAGAAGAGGGAGATATTTGCGTATGTAGGTATAACGAGCAGCGAGTGTATTTCGATAACATTTCTATTTCAACAATTATGGCAAAAAAAATGGAGATTTTATTATGCCATCCTTAACGCTCACTGAGGATTACACTGAATTCCAATAGGGGGAGACCAAGGTAAAACAGTTGGTATTTTAAAATTTTTACCATAAAATTTTGAAACAAAACAGAACAAATCATAAATTTATATGTAGCCAAATCCTTCATCTACAAAATAAGAAAAAAAAGGGTAGCGCTCTCAACCTATGATACTTTAGAAGCTAGGATTAATCATGTGAAGCTCACCAATATCGACCATTTTACCCCATGCCTAGGGTAATGTGGCTAAGCGTTAGGGTAAAGTGGTCAAAATAAAACATATTTCTTGTTTTATTGAACAAAATATGGCATTTGAGTGTGCCCATTTTAGGGCACATCGCGCATTTCAATTATTCTACCCTTTTGCCACCATTTTTAAGATTTTATTCCCAAATAACACACAAACTATTTATTAATGTTTCCTTTTTGCTTAAAAATATCTTTTTATATGATGTAGAACGTTGATAATTAAAAATCATTTTTTTACAGCTTTAATCAGACGGAATACTCTAATGTTCTTAGCAACTTTACCCCAAGGTTATATATATTATACAAATCGCTATTGGTTAACTTCCCCCCAGAATCTTACCTTCAGTCTCACCGTGACGAGGGAATGGCAATCTTTTGGCGGCTAATAAAGCTTTAAAAGATTCCCTGTGGTTTGGGTCTAGAATATGATCACGGTCTCGCCTGGGTGTAAAAACCACCTAAAGGAGTTGATGTCAGGAAGAGCACCCGATTGTAAAAACCTTGCTACTAAATTTTCTAATGATTAAATCAGAGGGAAAACTGGCCAACCTGGGTTGAACCTGGAAATCGCACAATTTCAGATAAATTTTATATTATAAGACTGCTATGGCTCTAAGGAACATGTTTATGAGACTTAATCTATTTTTCAAAAAAAATAAAAGTGATTTTTATAATTTTTTGGTAAAATATGTCAAACCAGAAAAATTTTTCGAAAGATCAACAACATAAGTAAGAAATATAGATGTAAAAATACTTCTTTCACAATCAAATTTAAGGTCTTCACACTCAATAGTTAAAAGTGTATTCGCATATCGTTACCCCTTCAATCGCTTTACCCCTGTCTCCTCTATATCCTGCGACAACGCATATATTAGAGATCTGCAAAAGTAGGCTCGGCCCATACCCTGCTCGGTCCAAACGGGCCGGGTCGGGCCTTAGAAATTTTTTTTAAAATATATCTGAATTTATCACTTTTACGTTGAATATTTTATGTAAAATAAAAAATATGTGATTTTATTTATAGTAGGTAGACGCCATATAACATGTATAGTTTATTTTGAGTAATTATAAAAATTAAATTCTATATTTAAATAAATTCGGGCCGGGTCGGTAAAATCTCGGGTTCGAGCCGGGTTGGTAAAATCTCGGGTTCGGGCCGGGTCGGTAAAATCTTGGGTTCGGGCCGGGTCGGGCCGGGCCGGGCAAAACTTTATGAAAAAAATTTCGGGCCGGGCCGGGCTTGAAATATTAGGCCCGATGCAGATCACTAATATATAGATATGTAAATTACATATTACTTGTTAGGTATATTAGAATAATTGCGCTTGCGCACAATATGACCAATAAAAATGTCTTTCAAGCTGACTCAAGTGGCTATTGCGCGTTATATTCAGTTTGTTAAAATAAGGATTTGTCAGTAAGCTGATCATAGGGACCCAATTATAATTTCATGATAGGTTTCTGAATCGAATCGCGATCCCAGGGTCAAAAACATCTGCAAAAAAATATAACTTTTACGAGATCCAATCCTATTTCTATTATATGGAGTTCAATTATATATTTTTTATAATGTTTCGATTTCATTGGCCAGCTCAACACGGGGTATGTAGCCAGTTTAACTGGCTCGAAAACTAACTTTCTTATAAGTATAAACTAATTTAGCGCTAAAACTATTCTAGATAAAGCTTTATATTCAAATTTTATTAATAGAGATTAAAGAACGGGTTAAACCAAATTTATAATCTACCTAACCCTAACCCCTAAACCTAACCATAACCAAATTTATAATCCACCTAACACTAACCCCTATTGATTAATTGTAGCTATACTAAAATAAATTTGAGAAAATATATAAATATTAAGTTAGCCTAACTCTAGCGCTAACCGTTACCCTAATCCAAAGATTGGGTTAAAATTCGTTAGTACCAAATTTATAATCCATTTTTTTTTTGTAAAAATAAAACTCATGGCCAGTCATCCCCTGCCTTTCACATATGTTTTAGCTTTAAAATGTTTGATGATGGCGCCCCCATTTAAATTTATTTTTTGCAAAATCTTTCAAGTGAGCTGCAATTTATAATTAGTGAGTGATGCATGACGAGTTGTTACTTTTGTAGTCTAATACCGGCCATTTTGCTAATCGCTATAAAGCTCCAGTTAAAAATTTTTCTTTCATTTATTTTTTTTTTCTTTCTTTCTTTTATTTCTTTCTTTCATTTATTTATTTATTTCTTTCATTTATTTCTTTCTTTCTTTCATTTATTTATTTCTTTCTTTCATTTATTTATTTCTTTCTTTATTTATTTCTTTCATTTATTTATTTATTTCTTTCATTTATTTATTTCTTTCTTTCTATTTATATCTTTCTTTCTTTCTTTCTTTCTTTCTTTCTTTCTTTCTTTCTTTCTTTCTTTCTTTCTTTCTTTCTTTCTTTCTTTCTTTCTTTCTTTCTTTCTTTCTTTCTTTCTTTCTTTCTTTCTTTCTTTCTTTCTTTCTTTCTTCAGCTATATACCTTTTAATTATAAATAGAAATGTGTTATAAAGATTTGAATATATTTTATTTCTGAAAAAAAAAATAATAAAATTATTACTATATTTATATTTATATTTTAAAAATGATAATATTCTAATAGAAAAGGTAGAATAAATGTAGTAATTAAATTAACCTTACCACAAATTTATAAAATTGCAACAAAGGATTAATTATTGTATATAAATGTAAAGGCATATGGTTTTATAATTAAAGATAATTTTTTTTCAAATTTTTTAATTCCTTATTAATAGATCA